GGGGGACGGAGAGAAAGGAGGACAGAGCGGGAGAGATGCAGAGGGGGGGGGGAGTTTGGGGGTAGAGAGGAGGGAGGAGGGAGGGAGGGGGCTCGGGTCATAGCGGCAGCCATAGTGCGCACGCGGGGACCGGGAGCGAGCGGTCAGGTGGATGGAAACATTGTCCCATAGACTGGGGCTGGGGCAGCCAACCCAACAGGACCATGATGGGCTCTGATGTGAGCCCTGTGGGGGGAGGGGGGGGGGGCGCAGAGGTTTTTTTTTGTGCGCGACCTTAAATACCTCCCTGCCGCCGCGACCTCCCCTTCCTCCCCTCCCCTCCCAGGCCTTTTCCCTTCTACCAGGGCGTGGTTCCTCAGTTACCTTGCGCAAGTGACACATTTCGTGTGGAAAACATGCCAGAGCCTATTTTACTTTACCATCAGGGGGTAGTGGTATTTGCTGCTGCATGTGATTTGCACAACTGTCTATTCCAGAGATAATCTGGATCTTTACAACAAGATACAACAACAAGATTCCATTTATAGAGCGCCTTTCACGTCAGGAGGACGTCCCAAGGCGCTGCACAGTTGGGTCATGACCCGAGCAGGGGGGAAATGGTCAGGGTGAGGGGAGGGAAGGGAGGGAGAGAGGAGGGGGAAATGGTCAGGGTGAGGGGAGGGAAGGGAGGGAGCGAGGAGGAGGAAGAGAGTCGAGAGGGAGATCCCTGTGAGTTATTTTAAAACTCCCTCTGTAACCAGGGATACCAAAACCCAATTGTCGTGTCCCAAGTAAGATCAGTTACCTCAGCAGAGTGAGATTCAGCCTTCCAGTTTGTCTTTGAGTTGCATTGGGCGGTGCCTTTACCCTAACCACTATGCCAACAGGAAGATTCTTAGCTCTTTATGTTAATGTTAGCTGTCGGATCTTTGTCTGCCAGCTTTCTTAAAAATAAATTGAGGCGCTTGCTTGCTTGCATGTACGAATAATTTTACAGAATAAAACAGGTACACATTTGGTCGTTTTGTTAAATCGAAGTCCAATTTTACAATTGCATCATCAATCCTGACTGGAGGCTAACTGGAATAATTTAAGGAGTACTGTTACAAAATGCGTGCAGATGAGCACATCTGTTTCCTTGGTTATGCAAAATCTGTTCTAAATTCTTCCTTTCAATCTGTGATGTCCTCAAACTGTACCATCCTGTTCACTCCCTCCGCACCCCCCCCACCTCACTCACCCCATTATTGGCGGGTGGGCCTTCTGCCGCTCTGCCCCCACCTTCTGGAACTTCATCCCGCAATCTCTCCACCTCGCCTCTTACGAGACCCAACTCAAAACCCTCCTCATCAACCATGCTCTCAATGACCCTGCTTGGGGACCAGTGTGTGTGTGGAAATTCTGCTGGACTTTAAACAGCTAAAACTGCATAGCTTGTCATTGAACATATTGCCTGGCAAGCCTTCCTGCTGCTTGTTCAGCTATGACCACCCTAATGGTTAGGGCTTTGACTTGTAGGAGCACAGGGGTAAGTGGATTTTTTTTTCCCTTCCCCCAGCTCAAAATGTACTTCCTTTTTCATTTGTGCACTTAAAATGGTGAGCAGAGTTTTAAAGGTGGTTGTTTAAAAAAGGCTGTTTGTGAACAGGAAGTTAGTGGGTGGACCTGGTGACTGTTTTTGCATCACCGCAGTAGGTTTGATGACCTATATTGAAATGGCTGCCTAGTTATGGGCTGGAATCATTTTAAAATGGTGTCTTGATGACAGTATGCGGTGAATTTGGCACCTAATCATAAAACAAGCCATTGAAGTTTATTGCAGTGGCCAAAGCTCTTAAAGAGGCAGGTACCACAGCTTTTGTCTAAATACTTAAATCTAATGAGCCTCAGAGTGAGATTGGACAAGATTCGGTGAAAACCAATAGAAATCTGCAAGCTCAGAGTGGATTTTTTTCATATATATGTTGCTGGAAAGTATTTTAAAAACAGATTCTTCCATTTTCTCACTCACAAAATCAATGACTTTTCTTTTGACTTCTCTTCCCCCAGAGTTTTAAATTGCTGGGCTGAAGTTTATGGCCTTATAATGTATAACTTTCTTGAGTAATTTTGTTTGCTTTTTTTGAAATTTTACAATGTGCAAGAGTATGTTCATTTAAATGGAGAGAGAAGAAAACAAGTCACAGGGAGGTGAGGCTTTACAATCTTGATATGTAGCCATAAAACCCAGCGATGACTCCTGGAAGTTGTTAATATTTAAGTTGACTTGTACTTCCAATTATTTGCTCTTTTATGCCACTGGACTTCAGATGCATTCAACTCCACCCTCCCCCCACCCCCAGGAGATCTCGACTATAAATTCTCTCCTCCTGACAGACAAGACACACATATACAGAGCTACCATGAGATCAGTCTTTTACAATAATATACAATAACATAATAATATAATAATACAATTCTTTCTGATATCATTACACGCCTAATAATAGTCCCTTGAAAAAAACAAAACAATAATAAATTGGTCATTTTCAATCCACGATTGTTTGTGGGACATTGCTGTGCGCAATTGGCTGCCAAGTTTCGCCCACAAATATACAGTCAATTCACTTTACAGTCTATTCTGTGAAGCGCTTTGAGACGTCGAGAAGACGTGAAAAGCACTATATCAAATGGAAGGATTATTATTATTATCAGACTATGAATATTCCCCATGAGGCCCAGACTGTGAATACAGTAAATTGCGCAGCTTGGAACTTAATTTCCTGTGATTCCATTGCAAATTTGCATGAGGGGAGGATAAAGATGCATTGAATCGCGGGGAATTTAGTCTTCACCAGTCAGCACATGCACACTTACTAGCTGCATTGAATTATGCATGCGCAGTGTAGATTATTGATTAAATTGGATTTTATACAACTTGTACAGTTTGCTTGCAACTCAGACTTTGCATAAGTCGTATTAAATGTTATGGTCCTGACTCCCCACTCATACGACTTATGTAAGTTTTGCTGTTTGCCCTGCCCTGTGAGGTTCAGATTGCAAATACTCCCTCCCGAGGTTAGGGAGTGCCTCCCATCAACTGTTTCTCAACTATCCATGGAGCAATTCCAGGAGGGATTATGTTAAGAGCTTTATATGGAATTGCTGTTTGTTTCCACCTTCTTCAAGTGGGAGAGAGATACCTAAAAATGCAGTGAGAGAGGAATTTCATATTGAAAGTTTTTATTTGTGGAAACGTAGCTCAGTGGTTAGAGCACTCGCTTTGTAAGTGAGAGACCTGAGTTCAATTCCAGGCAGGTCAGGGCGAAACCTTGGGCAAGTTTCCTTACACCACACAGAGCCTAATAATAATCCCTCCAAAACCAAACAATAATACATTGGTCACTTTCAATCTACGACTGTTTGTGGGACATTGCTGTGCGCAATTGGCTGCGCATTTGCCCACAATTATACAGTCAATTCACTTTACAGTATATTCTGTGAAGCGCTTTGGGACGTCCTCCCGATGTGAGAAGCGCTATATCAAATGCAAGGATTATTATTATTGGTGAGGTGCTAGTATATTGCATTTCTTTGTCTCTTACATGAGAATAATTGTATAAATTATCCCCAATCAGGATAAATCTGCCTTTTTTCACTAGTAGGCTTAGCTAATCTTCTTTTAATATATACATTTCTTTTTCCTCTGTAACAGATGTATACTCAGAAAAGAGAAGTGTTCAGGGTTGCATACTTAAGTATGGAAATACATGCCTGCAAAAACAACAGGCTTGAGTAGTAGTTTAACCACATCTTTTGATCAGGGCAGGTAACAAATGAATAAAGCATTTGCCATTTCGATTTAACCATAAATTAAAATGGAATACAAAGAGATAAATTGAGATGCAGTGCTTGCATGTTTGTTTTGCCATTCGTTGCCTTTGCTATTATGGTCCCTATCCATTGTCAAAATATTTCCGCACCACAAAAGCTCTGGAAAATTGCATGGCTTGTGGTAGCAACAGTCCTTTGGTCCATATCCAGGACTGATATGAGGCTTTACTATGTTTAGTAGGGATCTTAATGGAATCTTAACAAATGTTTTAGGATCTCTCCTAAGGTACTCCAAACTTTTGGTTTTCTCTTGCGATCACCCAGTATGGGGTTTCCCTCCAGTCTGCTACTGTGCCAAAAAGCTGGTTGAGGGATTGATGGAGTCTTGTTTACTGAAGGCGGTGGTGGGGGAGAAGAAATGAGCCGCACCACGTTTTTGTAACAGACTTGGGGCGCCCCCTGCTGTCTACCGAGGGAATATCAGCAGCGAGTGTGGTTTAGGTATCTGTACGTGTGTGACTTGGATTCTGGTGCAAGCTAACAGAAAGCAAAATAATGGCCCTTGCGATATACCAGTAGTTCTTCAGAGCCCAGTGAGACACATTGTGACAGTTTTGATGTGAGGTGCATTTGTGCAACGCTGATTTGCCGTATTAACTTATACTATTTCTCCCTCATTCTCTGCCCCCCCCCCCACCACTACCTGTTGTAAAAGTCGTGCATTCCTTTAGAATTTAGTGTTAGTAGTCTGTGTCCTCACACTGGAGTGTGCATCAACAGCCTGGCTTTGCAGTGTTACCGTTTGCACAGGGAACAAATGGCAGAGTTTGAAGTTGCGGTTTAGCTGTGGTGAGTGGGTAGTTAAATTTGTATTCCCTATAGCTGTGGAGGTTAAGGGTGATGTTTGACTCAGTAAAAGAACAGGTATGGGAAGGACTCTTGACTTAAGGAGGGTAATTCAAAAATCAATCCTAAACGTTTCTTCACACACTGTGAAGACCATATATGTTTAAAAAGGTGAACCCACAGCATTGTTGCACTATTTAGTTTGCCTCCCTTTGAAAGGGCAGTTGCTTTTAAGATGACGGTGGATGTAATGCAACTTTTGTTCTCTCTCGTTCTTCAAATCAGATTTCTATCATTGACTTCCAGGTTAGGTGAATTTCAGGAGTGTGATGTGATTTTAACTGTCTGGTTTCTTTTCATAGGCATCTGGTGTTCAGATTAATGGAAAGGTCTTGAGCGTCTTTGCTGAGATGAAAGTTCACAAGACTTCTGAAGATGTGAAGAAGAGGAAAAAATTTGCGATCTTCAAATTGAACGACGAAAAAACTGAAATTATTTATGATGAAGAAAACGTCTTGCTGTTTGGACAAATGGATGAAGATACTGATGGTTTTCAACTTTTGTACGACACGTTGCCCACAAATGATTGTCGCTACGCCATTTTTGATGTATGCTATGAAAATAAGGAGTCAAAGAAAAAAGATCTGATATTACTGTACTGGTAAGTTTTAACATTTAATAGACCTAAAGATTTTTTTGATATGCCAGGATTGTCATAGGAACTGCCAGCTAGCCTAACTTTCCTGGATCAAGCTTACTTCTGATCACAATTAGAAGTGTGTTTTATTAATAAAAAAACAACTGGACAATTATCGAAGGGTCATGAGGACGGCTCAAAAAGTACTTCACAAGATGTACTGTAAAGTGTAGTGACTGCATTCTGTAGTCAAGTGCAACAGCCAATTTGTGCATAACATGTCTATCAAATATCCTTGAAGTGAATGATGAAACTCTTTATCTGGGAGAATGTTGGCCAGGACACAGGGAGAAATGAAAAAGGGAGCGTTGCTGAATAAGTGTATAGGAAAGACTTGGGTAATGCTCATTGTGCCAACCTTCACCATCCCTTCCCCAATGTACAAGGGATCTTATTCAACAGCAACAAATTTTATTCGTATATCACCTTTCACGTCAGGAGGATGTCCCAAGACACTGGACAGTCAAGGATTTGCATCTGAGATGGGGGCTGGGATCAGGAGGGAGGGTAGTGATGGGAGGGTAACCAAAAGTGTGTTTGAAGAGGAGGGTCTAGAGGCAGGCCTTCACGGAGGGAGGGAAGAAGGTCAACGGACTGTGGAATGGAGTTCCAAAGGAGGCAAAAAGACTGAAGGCCCGACCTGCCTGAGCGTGCAAGTTGGTGTGGAGTTAGCAGATCACAGAAATAGGGAGGAGCAAGGCTGTGGAGGGCTTTGAAAGTGAGGAATGAGGATTTTGAACACTATCCTCTAAATTCATGCTATTTAAAAATTGCTTAAAAGAATTGATTGTTCCAATGTAGAAAATGGTAAAAACTGAACGCGTTCTTCAGCCAATTTTGTGTTTTACAAATCTGGTTGGAGGTTTCTTGGGTTTGTTAAGAAATGCTGCAAATTAACTCCCACTGTTTTAACTACAAACTTTGGTTTTCTGAATAATGTAAAATTCTACATAGAAAATACATTGCCGCTCAAAAGTAAAGTAGTGAATTCTGTTATAATGACAACAGAAATAAATTGATTGTATATCACGCCTTTCACGATGGGAGGACATTGCAGGGCATTGGACAATGAAGGGTTTGCACCCAAGCTGGGGCTTAGAGTCATGAGGGATCGATGTCAAGGGGAGTGGAGGTGGGAGGATGACCAAAGGCACGGTCAAAGTGGAAGGTGTTAAGATGTGCCTTGAAGGAGGCAGGCGGAGGGGCTCCGGGATGCAGTTCCAGAGGGTGGGGATAGAAAGGCTTGACTGCCAATGGTGGAGCGAGCGGGGGACGTTGAGTGGAGAGAGAGGGCAAAATGGTAAAATGTTATTGGATCACAGGGGTAGAGAAGAACAAGAAGCATGGAGGGCTTTAATAGTGAGGTTGAGGATCTTGAACTGATTTAGCAGCTGATTTTATGTGGTCCGCGGCCATTTCAACTTTCACTCCCTCCCTCCCTGGTGAACATGCTCCCAGGACAGCGGCAGGAGATGGTAGTTGGAAGGACCCAATGCACAAAGCCTTTACTGCAGTCTGTCAGGAAGACAAGCCCACCTCTTACCAACTGCGTCCTTAGCAACCAACTGCTGGTTGCTGCCGCTGCAGATAAGTGACCCGTGCTTGGGAAGGGGGTGGTGGGAGAGAGAGAGGGAGGAGAGTGGGGGAGAGAGATGAAGGGGTAGGACAGCAGTGGTGCTGGAATTGAGTGTGGAGGCAGAGATAGAATTGGGTGTCATCTGCATACATGTGGAAGTTAATCCCATGGCTGTGGATGATATCACCAAGCATGAGCATGTAAATAAATATCAAAGCGAATAGAACTAAGAACAGACCCCTGAGGAACTATGGGCATTGCGCAACAGTGCGAAGGCTGGAGGAGAAGCAGTTAGTGTATACAAAATGGAGATGATGGGAAAAGTAAGAATGAAACCTGGAGACAGAACCATGATGGTGGAGTTGAAACGAGAGGCAGTGGAGAAGGATAGAGTAGTCAACATCAGATGGCAGAGAGATCAAGAAGGACGAGGAGACAAGGATCCCTGGTCACAGATGGACAAAATGTCATTGGTAACTTTGACTAAGGCTGTCTCTGTACAATGGGCAGCATGGATACCAGATTGGAGATGTTCTTACAGACAGCGGCGGGAGAGGAAAGAGGGAAGTTGGGAAGCTGCAACTCGTTCCAGGACTTCGGAAAGAAAAGGAAGGTTGGAGGTGGGATGGTAATCAGAAATAGAAGTGCACAAAGCCTTTACTGCAGTCTTAGAGATAGAAGTGGGTTGGGTTCCAGAGAATGGGATGAAAGAATTAAGTGAGATGAACTAATGGTCCGGGATGACTTTATCGCGACGGTGATGTTCGAGACAGCGAGGCCCTGGGTAATCACTAGGTCGAGAGGGTGACCATGGATGTGAGTGGAGGAGTTAACGTGGAGGGGGAGGTTTTGAGAGGAGAGAGAAGTCAGCAGAGGTAGAAGAAGGGGTGAAGTGGAGCTTGAAGTCACCTAAAATGAAGGAGGCAGAGGGAAGCTAGGAGCGTGGGGATATTGGAGAAGAAAGTGCGGGAAGGCTTGAGGGTCAATAGATGAGGAAAAATAATTTTAAGGGAAACATTGGAGGGATGATAAAGAGTAAGGTGCTTGAAAGAGGAGGGATCTAGAGGAGTAATGGGAAAGACCCAGTGAACGCTTGGGAGAAGAGAGCCAACCCACTACTATGGAGGTTGAGTCATGGGGTATGATGGAAGGTGTAACTGGGTGGGGTGGCCAACTAGCTTTGTCAGAGCACTGTTTAACTTCTGATTCAAATGGATTGCGGACTATCCATGCATGTGGACGGCATTCTCTGTGCTAACACTAGCAAAGTTTGAGCTTGACTGATGTTGCTTCTTGTGCACGGCATGTGTGTAGGGAAATGATGTCTGTGGAAGTTCAATGACCTGAAAGTTAGGCAGTTTCTTTCTTGAACACAATAAATGGCTGACTTCCAAATCATCAGGTTGCCTCTGATGTTGCTTCCTACACTGCAGTTTATGACAGCCTCTTTATAAGGCAGGTTGGGATGTTCTGGATCCCCTCATAATATAGCTCCACTGTAAGAGAATCATATCCGTGAGTTATTTTTACAAGTTGGGTTTATCAAGTGAGAATTTACATTAGTGGAGTGATTTCTCCATTGCTTGATCAGTGCCGTGCACAGTCTTGTCATTTTATTTGCCCGGAAATTTGTCTTTTGAGAAAATTCTGCACTTATGATGTGGTGGTGTCTCGCTTCATACAAAAGAGGAAGGCAATAGAATGATTCCCTAAAGAAATGAGTCCTATGAGACAGTAAACCCAAGGGAAGGGCAAGACGTGGGGCTCAGGTTGGAAAGGGTTTCCTAAATACTAGCAGCAGAGGTGTCCCCACGTAATGTATAACTAGATATGAAAGGTTATAGGATGAGGATTTCTCTTTGTAGTTGAAGGTTTTAGCATGTTTGCTAATTCTTTTTTGTTCTTTTACAGGGCTCCTGAGAATGCAAGCCTTAAGAACAGGATGATATATGCAAGCTCCTTAAAAAAACTTTCCTCGAGTCTTGGAGGTATGCTTCCGATTTTGTTTATTGTGAACAAAACTGCTTTTGTTTGTGCAGGTAGGAGGGGAGAGATGCAAGTCCTGCTGAAGCATGACCAAACTCATCTTTGATATGAGCAGTGCAAATGACCACAACCTCATATTTTTGATGTTTTTTAAAAAAAAGTTGTGAAAATTATATCAATTTGCTGGTGTGTAATGGTACTGTACAACAGAAAGTCAGGTTGCAAAAAAGACCCTCAATATTTGCTTCAAACAGTTTGTGTTTATTGCAGTATAATTTCTTGATTTTTTTTCGAAAGTAGCTGAGCCACTCTTTAACGCAATATTTGATTCTTTCGAGAATTGGGACACGATAGAATTTACATTCAAATAATTTTTTTCACATTTCACACTCAATACACTCAGTACAGTCAAAAAGTGCTTAATACAGCTGGCTGGGCATCCCGTTGGGGGAGATGACCGAAAGTGCAGTCAAAGACACAAATCTGAAGGTGGAAGTGCGGGAGGGAGAAGAGAAGGTGAATCGGAGGGACTGGGAAGGATTTCCAGAAAGCGGTGGCGGATTGAAAGATGATAAAGTCGACGTAATTTCCTGAAATTACAAGTGCACTACTCTTAGATGTCAGAGTCTGAATATATGTTCACCTTGCAGAAGTGTAAAGCTTTGGACATTTTTTTTCAGGTGTCAAATTGACGTGGGAAGTTGTCGGCCAAGATGCCTATGATCGAAAAGAACTCGCTGCAAAGTTGAACCAATCGGTCACAAAGCTAGAAGGGAAGTCAACATAAATCCTAATGCTGCAGAGCACCACTATCTTGTTCAATTTCTGAGCTATATTGTTAACTTACTGCTTTATTATTAAAAAAAATTCCTGGGTGGTTTCAATCTGCATTAAGTCCTCAATATTTCAAACTTGGAAAAAATGATTTCTTCTCCTAAAACCAGCCTTAATGACCAGCACCTTGGAATGTCCTCCCGACGTGAAAGGCGCTATACAAATCTAATCTTGTTGTTAGTTAATGTTGACAAGTGTTGGTTCATGTTTCTTATCTGAGAACAAATCTTAAATTGAAGATGACTATTCCAAATATTTGACTCTTATGAAACATGCAGATTTTTTTCTAAAGCTAGAATCTACTGTTTGTGCAGCAGAATTAAACCTCTTTTCAAAATACAATAGTGAATTATGTTTTTAGCATACATAGTCTCCATTGGCATTGATAATTTTAAGTTTGTCCACCAGACCATTTTCTCTCTTTTTCATTTAGTGGTTAAGTCCTCTATCTCAGTGGTTAGAGCACTCGCCTCACAAGTGACAGACCTGGGTTTGATTCCCGCAGGGCGAAACCGTGGGCAAGTTTTCTTACTCCAAACACCTAATAATAATCCCTCAAGAAAAACAAACAATAATAATTTGGCCACTTCAATCCAAAACTGTTTGTGGGACACTGCTGTGCGCAATTGGCTGCTGTGTTTCGCTCACAAAAATGCAGTCAATTCACTTTACAGTATATTCTGTGAAGTGCTTTGAGACATCTGGAAGACGTGAAACAGTCCTATATCAAGTTCAACGATTGTTATTATTACTTATCCCAGAATCACTTGGGCCACTGTGGGCTCGTCCGGGTCTTGGACCCTAGGATACTTGAAAGAGAATGACTGGCTGTAGAATGTAAACATGTAATGGGTGCACAATTGAATACCTTTAACTTTTGTGCTATTAAACATGCTTCATCCAGTTAGAATGGGATTCAACCAGTTTAAATCATGTCTCTTGCATGAAAGGTTGTGCACTGTCACTGAGTATTTTAACCAATGGTGGCGTTACATGATCTGTACTTTACATGATCTGTACTTTACATTAACCAAGTATTGCTTCATTAGCAAATTTGTTTAATTTCCCTTAAGGTGGTGATCACCTTTTCACCGTTGCTCAGTGTGCAAAGCAAATTACCTGCATACCATGTGTTCCTATATATATGTGGAGTAACCGTGCATGCAAACACTGGAACCCTTATATTGTGTAAGCAATCTCCTAACTGATGTATAATAGGTGTGAGAAAATCATTATTGGTTTTGTTTTCTAACTTTCCATCCCTGCTTCAATCTTTGCTCTTTTATAATAAACACAATCTAGCTGACTCCAAAGAAAACTGCTCTCTCCCAATTGTGAGAATCTTCGTAGAATGTTTTGAATGGAATGCAAAAGTTGAAGTCTCCCTTGGAAGTGATCATGTTGCTGTTTTAAATAAACAATGAAATCCACTTGGCACTGTATTTTTGTGTACGTCAATCCTAGATTTGGGTGCAAAATAACAGGTTGGGCTGAAAAGACATCTGGGCTATTTACACATTTTACGATCAGTTACCTTTTTCTTGCTCCATCAATCCTCATCTCTTCAGAATATAAGAATGAACCTGAGAGGTTATTCTAAACCACTCCACCGTACCTGTTGCAGCTGTACCCGTTGCAGCTTCGCTTGCAATCAAAGGAGCCAATATGGAATGTAGATTGACCCACAGACAGACATTTCATCTCTATACTCATCTGGGAGGACTCGGTGCTTTAAAAATGTAAATGTTGTTGTCGCCGCAGTTTAGCTTTGTGTTCTTTATTTTGGTGGAATGTGCACCATCCAAGGATCCATACTCCACCTTACTAAGCCAGTCCAGAACCTTGGCGTCTTGTTCGACCCTCAACTATCTTTTCTGCCATCTGTGCCATGTCCCGCTCTGCCTTCCCCCACCTCCGCAATAGCATCTGGCTCCACCACTCTTTCATACCTCAAGCTGCTGAGACCCTCATACACGCACACATAACATCCAGGCTTGACTCAACTCTGCAGCCCATGTCCTCTCCGGCACCAGGCTCCGCAACCTCATCATGCCCATCTTCACCCAACTCCACTGGCTTCCCATCACACAAAGGACACAGTTCAAGATCCTGGTCCTCACCTTCAAAGACCTCTATGGTCTTGCTCCCCCTACCTCTGTGACCTCTGAACCTTTTATCATCTGCCCACTTCACATCCCCCGCCTAACCTGTCCCACCATTGGCCGGTGAGCCTTCAGTATCTCTGCCCCCACCCTCTGGAACTCCATCTCGCCTCCTTCCAAGACCTTTCTCATCGACTGTGCCTTCGATCACCCTGATTCCCCCCCCCACCGCCCTCCATACTCCCCGATCCCAACCCCCAGCTTGGATCCAAAACACTGATTGTCCAGTGTCTTGGGACGTCCTCCCGACGTGAAAGGTGTTATACAAATGTAGTTATTTTGTTTCCGCTGCTTGGCTATGTTGCGTGCTCTATGACGCAGGATGCCACAGCGCCATGGTCAGATGGCGTAGCCACCACGTGTAATTGCAGTGCACGTGTACATACGTACATGCACTGACACACAATGACACAGCGCCACTTTGACTTGGTGGCCACTAGGTGAAACTAGTGAAAAACACAAAACTGAAAATAACTAGCGAACGATAGGAGATACCTGAAAACAAATATGCCGATGTCACTCCGAGATGCAAGACCTTTCCGAGGAGGTATAAATCATGTCCCTACATCAATCGATTATTGAGCTCCTTCTTGAAGTGCAGACACACTGTTTATTAGTATAAAGATAGAAGATATATATATATATAGAGAGAGAGAGAGGAGGCTTTGCTGTATTGTTTGGACAAACAGGGAATTTCCCAATCTGTATGTCGCAATATTAAGTTCCTGTTCAACGAGCAGCATTGTCGAGGGAAGGGCTGACACATCACTGTTCATTCACCTGCCAGAACCGGTCCAATGCAATCATTCAACCTTTACCAATGAACAGAACACAAGAGGCTGTGGAAATGTGGCTACAATGGTTTATTTGTTTTGTGGACCTCTTCGGAGAAAGAAAGAAACAGAGAAAGAAAAAAGAATGCCACCAAAACCCATTCTGTTACTAACCAGCTGAGGTGTGTTTCAAAGCAAAATAAAACACATAACAGGTACACACCTAATGTTCACTTGTTCCTTTCCTTTCCTTTTGTGGAAAAAAAATGTAATTGCACTATTCAATGTACGATCCCCACACGGTACATTCATTTCCCTTTTCATGTAAACTGAACATTCAGGCGATCCGTTACATACACAAATGAGACATTTGGACTGAGGCTTCCTGACACAGTCAAGAGCCTTGTCCGATGGAATGTGTCTTCAGGAAAAAAAAGCTTTTAAAAAATGTTGGCTGCATCTTTCAATTTTTTCTGGTTCGCTAACAATGGTTTGTAATTAACTACGGTACAATACTGAGCGCACAGTTTAGGAATGGCAAAAGAACTATTATAGCTGTAAGGCATCTGGCAGGTTGAGTAGTGTTTACTGCAAATGTAGCGTCTTCAGACGGATGTTCCCTCCTTCAAACCATCCTCCTCCACCGCCATCTTCTCTTCTCCCTGCAAAAGAGCAGCATGTGGTAAATGTTTGGGTAAAGGATGAGTCAACTGGTCTGACTGTTTTGACTGGGGATGTTTTAAAGTTGCGAAGGACCATAATAATAATCTCATTTGATATAGATCCTTATCACATCTTCAAAATGTCTCAAAGTGCTTCACAGAAAATACTGTAAAGTGAACTAACTGTATATTCTGTGGACAAAACTGACCAGTTATCATAAATCTTGGCTTCTTCAGAAATAAAACCTCATAAAGGTATGATAAATAATTCTTGGCAGTTCATTCAGGGTCTTTCACATTGGGAGGATGTCTCATTTACTGCAAACTTACTGTAGGTGTTCTGTAGGTGGACACAGCAGTCAATTTGTACACAGCAATGATAGCAGTGGCATTCTAGCCAGCGAACTGTGATTCTTGAACTTCATTATTCAGAATGACCAGGTGGGGGGGTGCGTTACTCAATGTGATGAATATTAGCAGACACGCAAATTTCACTCCTATATTTCGCTGAGAAAGTCTGACCAAACAGTGATGCACTACAAAATGCCTACCTGAAATTGGACAATGTGCTCTCTATCAGAGGCACTGTCCCCAGCCGCTTGCACCTTCTCCAGCTCACCCTGCAGCTGTGATACAGACCTCTGAGCCTGTTAATGTAAGAAATATGCAGGATTAAAGTCCATGAATTTAAGTAGAAGCAGTTACCAACTGTGTGATACAGGTAAAACTAACAACTAAACCAAAATCCATTGATATTAAACTACCAAGGCACATAAGTGCATCTTTCCCATAGTAGAAGAACATTAAAGCATCATAGAGAGTTTCTCCATTGAACTTTTCTCTTTAACTCTATACTTCCCATCTGATTCCCAGGGATATTAATCCCGTTCTCTTGCCTTTTCCAACATTAGGCAAGGGAAAGGGAATAAACAGATTGTTCTTACAGATATTCGGCACAGATATTATTTCACTTAGAATTTAACAGATATTCAGGCCGAAAGGAATTGCCTTCTTTTGCAAAAATTCTTTTGCTGAAAATTTCTGTAATTGTAACCAACTTTTGTCACACGTTGTACCCAGTCCCAAAACTGGGAGAGGCAACATGGTCCAGGCCTCCACTAAGGTCACTGGCTGCAAGAAATTGTACCAAGTGCACCCAAATTTCAGTCACTTTCTTTCAGAGCCATGTTGAATGGAGGCATGAGATCTCCTCTGGGAATGAGAAAATCAAGAGAAATCCAGCATCGAAAGGGGATTGAGCGAAGCTGGTCTCGGAGCAGGCCTCTGACAGCTCATTTCTTGATAAGCAGAATATCAAGGCTTAGCATGCCAGCAAAAAAGTGTGGGTGGGGGTAGGGGTGGAATAAGTAACAGAATAATAAGATTCCTTGCAACTGATATAATGCTTCACCACGTTGTCGAAACGTCTCAAAGCGCTTCGCAGGATTTACTGTGAAGTGTAGTCAAATGCAAATGCTGCAGCCAACTTGCACGCAGCAATGTCCCACAAATAGCTATGAAGTGAATCACCAATTTTATCTGGGGAATGTTGGCCAGGAGGCCAGAATGAATTTGATTCTTTTTCAAATAGTGCAATAGAATTTTTAATGTTTAATTGAACAGGCAGAGGGACCTAAGTTTTAACACCTACTAGACATAAATAAAGACATACCTCTTCAAATTCTTCTGCCAGTTTTTGTCTCAGAGCCTGCTCAGAGTCTCTTGTGTTCACACTTTCTTCCAGCTGGGTCTTAAACTGTACAAAAGAACAGGAGGCATCTCAGTTATTACAAAGGCTGCAGTGCTAGAATAGAGACAGTCAAATAAGGAATGGGTGACAAGCTGGAATCTAGAAATAGCTGAAGTTCAGGGAATAACTATGGCGAGATACAACTCAGATGCCTGTTAAGTACATTATAAACGGTGAAAGTGGACCACAGCACATGGCTACACACAACATGGTGAGGTTAGAGAGGTAAAGGTGTTAATGGTCAGCTTTGCAGACGAGTATGCTTTCCGCTGAGGTGTCCCAATGCACGTGCCGGCTTCTCACCACCCTAACCTCGCCTGGCTCTGGCTCAGTGTGGTGGGCCTGCAACCCAACTGACTCTCCATCGTGCATGTGAGTCTCCATTTCACACAGATGCTGCCTCACCTAGAACAGGGAGCAGCAAAGCTCACTTACAATGCACCAGATTGCACCCACATAACAAAGAAACAGAATATCAGCTCTTTGAATTCATGGGACTATAACTCTTCACAGGTTACAGAAGACGTGCATTAAAATATTGTAACCTTCGAATGGCAAATGAAGGATGAATAGGTAGAAACCGATCACCGTTTGAGGGCAATAATAATAATAATAATAATAATCCTTGCATTTGATATAGCGCTTTTCACGTCGGGAGGACGTCCCAAAGCGCTTCACAGAACACACTGTAAAGTGAATTGACTGTATATTTGTGGGCAAACGCGGCAGCCAATTGCGCACAGCAATGTCCCACAAACAGTCGTAGATTGAAAATGACCAATTTATTATTGTTTTTGGTTTTTTTGGAGGGATTATTATTAGGCGTGTGGAGTAAGGAAACTTGCCCAAGGTTTCGCCCTGCCTGGAATTGTTATACAACTTTCATAAACAGTAGGCATTTGCAACAGTGAACAGCCATAACTGAAGGAAAAAAACCCTACATAATAAGTTTGTACAATGAGTCAAGAGAGAAGTCAAATCTCCCCTTATTCCCCATCCTTATAGACAAAACTTGGCTCTATTACAGCCAAAGTTTGTTCTTAAGTTCTATCCAGTTGACACGTTGGCATTAAGTTATAAACAAAGGTTTTACACGTCATTTAAAGGGGCATGATGTTTATGGAAAAATATTTGACAAACCTTTATCTGTTTTACTGACACTACAACATGATGACGCAGGATGTATTATCATAACAAAAATAGGGCATGGCTATATCACTGTCTGTCTCCGCGTTACCAAGGTTCATGTCAGGTGTTAAGAAATAACATTGTATGTAAGTGATACAACTCAAAGAATACAATTTCAGGTATCAGAAATCTTAACAAAGCGTTTGGCAAAGGAACCCAGCGGAATTGGGAGTGTTTTGTTGACTAGGGATTTACTTGAAGTGAAGCAACACAAAAATTGAAGTAACAAAGAGGTTATTCTCACCAGTGAAAGCTCTTCACTCTGCTTCCGTACTTCTGAGTTAGCCATTTTGAGCTGGTTTTGTGTTTCTCCTAACAGATCTCTCAACTGCAAAGAGCAATAAAAGAATACATCATCAAGTGTCTGCAAGTTAACAGAAACAGTTGTCAAGCTAGAGTTCAATGCCCAGTTTTACTACTTATTTATTGGTTGTGGAGCAGAGCCTTTGTCCTACATTCCCTCTGCAGCTCATCAAACAAGAACATTTGTTAGAAGTGGTCTCACACCAGAAGTGCAAGATACTGTCAAACCAATTTATTTCAAGCAGGAATGACATAAAAGTCTTCAAGGAAAGAATGGATACCAGCTTTCCAAAAACTGAATGCTTCTTGGCAGCAATGTCAAGCTACCAGATGTTCTGCATCTCGATAGCTCCATCTACATGGCCACTATGGTACTGCATCCATAATTTACAAGTGAAAAATAATCACATTATAATAATTATCATCCTTGCCCTTGAGCATCTTATCAGCTCATTGAGACGTCACAAAGTGCCTCACAACATTTACTGTAACATGGTGTGATTGTGGTATTTCTGGGCCATCAATAAGTTTCTTAATTTTTTTGTCACATCTGTAATTTTGTGAAAGTTAGAAGCGCAAAAACAGCAACGCTCTAAACCAAGTTTTTATTAGTAACCTTTTTAATTCCAATCTCACTTGTGTGTCTTCCTATTGCACAAGCATGTATAGATCTGAACTCTGGTTTGCCAAAACAGGTAAAGACAAAAATGGAATAATCAGCCCTTTTAACCTCATCTCTCCAGATTACCTCTCCTTTCATTTTCCAATTACAACACCAAGCCATTTAATTCCTTCCTGCCAACTTGTTCCAGCTGTTAATTACGTTAAAAGAATACGGCCAAATCTGTCCAAAAAATACCCTTCACAACCCCGAACCTGTGCCCTCTTATCTTTCTCTTTGACCGAGCCTTCAGCTCCCCTCTCGACTCTCTTCCCCCTCCTCGCTCCCTCCCTTCCCTCCCCTCACCCTGACCATTTCCCCCCTCCTCGCTCTCTCCCTTCCCTCCCCTCACCCTGACCATTTCCCCCTCCTCGCTCCCTCCCTTCCCTCCCCTCACCCTGACCATTTCCCCCCTCCTCGCTCCCTCCCTTCCCTCCCCTCACCCTGACCATTTCCCCCCTCCTCGCTCCCTCCCTTCCCTCCCTTCACCCTGACCATCTCCCCCCTGCTCGGGTCATGACCCAAGTGTGCAGCGCCTTGGGACGTCCTCCTGACGTGAAAGGCGCCTTATAAATGGAATCTTGTTGTTGTTGTTGTTATCCCTCTACTATGGTGTATCTCAAAGTAATGTTGCACCTTTCTCTATCCCAGTAAAATTGTTATCATTGCTCACTACACCCTCCATTGCATATATAGCCATGAAACCTGAATGTGCACTTTCTTCACTGGGACAATATATTTATGTAACAATTATCTTTATATATTATTATTACACATAACAACAGACAAGCTGCCCCATGAACACCTCAACCTCTAAGGTTAGGGAAACACTGACCCTAGGTATTGCTACATAAAAGTCACACAAAATTGGACAGTACAAAAGAATGCAGTGGTGATTAAAGTGGATAGTACAAGGTGTATTTATATAGGACCTAACATATTTAACAATGTTTCAAAGTGCTTTACATGGACAATAACTGGCAGAGAGAATGGGAGGAGGAGACCATAAGTATGGTCAAAGAGGTAAGTTTTCAAGAGGATTATGAAGAGAGATAGAGAGGGGGAAGCGAGGCAGAGAGACATAGGGAGGGAGTTCCAGAGGGAAGGGTATAGTGGCTAAAGGCCTGGCCACCAATTGTGGAACTGAGGGAGTGATGAACACTAAGCAGGTCCAAGTGTGCCGTGCAGAGGGAGAGAGGGAAACCCGGAGAGGCTAGGCTTATTCCACTTTCTCCTTTTGTATATGTAGACAGACCTGCTCCCCAGCCTCAGCCAATGCCACTCTGTCGCCAACCATTCAGAGAGCCTGAGGGGAAACAGCAGGCCTTTGATCGCAATTTTCACTGGTAACTGAGATCAGGTGCTTTTCCTGCAGCACGACTTGAGGATAAGCCTTCAGTCCACCACCTTGTACCTCAGTGTGTCATTGCACCAATACATAATAGCTATGCCCCTCTTCGATGCAAAACCCAGTGACACATCCAGTTATTTTCTTCTGAATTCATTTTACTGCCCATGTGGGCAGATAAAGTAAGGTACAGTGTAACTCGCTGAGGCTTACCTCTTCCAATTCTACTGAGTATTTCTGGCATTCTGTATGGGCAGATTCTAGCTGGAGTTTCAGCTGTGCCTCCAACTGCGCCACTATCTCCTTCATCTGAAGAGAAAGCAGAGATTTAGATATTTTTCTATTCAGTCTACAGCAAGTTAAAGCAACAACAATAGCTTGCATTTATATAGTTCCACTCTCAAGGTTAATGTCTCGGAGCACTGAACAGTGGTGCGGTTTGATGCTGAGCTGCAGAGGGATGGGAGGTGATGAAAGCATGGTCGAAGAGGAAATTCTTCAAGTGTGTCAGCATGGCTCAGTGGTAGCATTCTCCCCTCTGAGTCAGAAGGTTGTGGTTCATGTTCCACGTTGGGGCTTGAACTCACATACTCTAAGATGTCACTCCGATGCAGTGCTGGGTGTGTGCTGTATTGTCGGAGGTATCATCCTTCAGATGAGACGTTAAACCAAGATCCTGTCAGGTGTATGTTAAATTTTCTATGGCTTCACTCGAAAAGAGAAGGGTGATCCAGGTGTCCTGGCCGACAATGCCCCAAATAAAATTGTTCACTCGCTTCACGGCTACTTGTAGGACATTACTGTACACAAACTGCTGCCATGTTTTGCCCACAAAATATACAGTCACTTTGCAGTATATCCTGTGAAGTGCTTTGAGACATCTCGACGGTGTGATCAGGCACTATATCAAATTACAGGGATTATCAGTATTGAAGACGGACGAAGTCACTGCTGTTTTAGGCCTTGCTGCATGGATCAACAGAATACCAGCCTACCTTGGAGTTAATAATAAACAAAATTTGCATTTGATCTAGTGATTTTCATGTCGAGAGGACATCTCAGAGCATTTCATGGGATCTACTATAAAGTGTAGTGACTGTGTATTGTGTAGCTGAGTTAGAAATTCCATGCATTGAGAGTGGTCTCCCAATACCAAACAGATCATTAGATTATTGAACCATTTGAAATACCTGCTAAAGACTCAGCCAACAAGACATCAGATTTTTAAAAAAATTATCTTCAACGCCAGAATTTAAGCAGATTTACTTTTCACTTAGAAAAAAAGTACAAATGGAACAACAACAACAAAATGATATTTGTATAGGGCCTTTCACATCAAGAAGTTGCCAGTTTACTATTTCAACTGATAGCGCCTTGGGACGTTCTCCCGACGTGAAAGGCGCTTTAAAATGTAATTTTGCTGTTGTTGATAGAGATTGACTAAAAGAACGTGTAAAGCTTGACAGTCTCAAAAGGCAATCACAGGTTCACACATGGAATCATTGCTTTAACAGGCTGAGACACCTTTGAAACAGAAAAGTGCACCTTTTCAATGGGACCCCTTGTTGATTCTCTAAATGGCTCTAGTTCAAAGTAAATAACATGTCGATTGAGGACCCCTTCTTGCTTGTCTGGCCTCAGTTCTCCTGAAGCAGGATAGCTTCTAAGCTGTTCAAGGCTTCACTTTGGACCACAATGCTGAACTGAACACTCCACCGATTATATAAAAGTCTCATTAAAGTCTCTTGGCAGAGAATTAAAGACCACATATTGTCTGATCTCATACCAATATTTTACAGCCTGGTAGAAAATAAAATCAACAGTGCTGCCATCAATGGAAAGTTGTTTCTTCCCTACTTCCATTTTAAATGCTAATTCAATAGCAAACTATAAACCGCTCCTGGCCACCGCATTTTTCCATTGCAATTTATGAAGCTCTCTGCTGCTTGGTGACGGATAAAAAGTTTAATCACAACTCATAGCCTTGTGTAGCAAGATATATAGGCTGCTAACCTCCTTTCCCTTCTCCACAACCTGTCACAATATTCTCTTCCTTCAGCTGGGAGGTCACAATGTGACCTTTGGGTTGCGCACTCCTGCACTGTGTTATGTCAATGGCGCCTCACAAATGGCTGGTGGGAGAGGATCTTTGCCAAAGAGAAAATATCTTGTTATTTTTAACCCTCTTATTCCCTATGCAAAGAGGTCTGCATTAATGCAAAATGCTCAGTACATCATTGGCAACAATTGTCTGCTGGCCCCATTACAGTTCAAGTGGAGGCTGATATTTCAAAATCCGAACAGAGGCATTCCATTCCATACCAAGTCATCAGCTATGCAGTTTATTCAGAACAAACAGAGTCACTGTTTACATGGTTCTGTACCTGTTCTGTGTTTTGGGATTCTAGCTCAAGTCTCTCCACTGTCTCCTCTAATGTTTTCACTTGCGATTGTGCCTGTTAAAAAATACATATCCACAGGTGAGGAGCTAGAAACACATTTGACCTGCTTTTTCATATCAACCAAATCGTCTTCCCATTAGAGAATCAAGCAGCTTCTTAAATGATACATACACGATGCCAAGCACAGACTGTAGATAGTAACAGTAAAGTTACACAGCTCTGGAACACTCTATTGACATTTTGTCCTAAAATAGTCAAATCTTACCTTCCGAAGTTCTGCTTCAGACTCTCCTATCTTTCCTTTCCATATGTGCTCCTCCTCTTCAACACTTTTCTGTAGGTCCTTCAGCATGCCTTCCTAAGAAATCGCACAGGAAAGGAAACACTGAGCAAGATGCAACACAAACAACAGGTTCTGTAGCTAGTTAAGAACTGTCAACTGAGAGCAGAGATAAACTCACCGTCTCAGCAAGCACGATTCTGTACTGATCGCACTCCGCCTGTAAAGTGCTCTGAGCTTCTTCTGCTTCTTTTAATTTAAGTGCTACATCCTGAAAGAGTTTGAACAAGCAGCGAGCAGTCACTACACAGCACATTGAATAATAGCATTCCCAAAGGAGAATGGGTCTGGGAAGGTCAAAGGAGAAAATTGTAGCAAAAATACAGAGCAATTTAATAGGGTTTTACGAACTTTGTGAGATTCTCAGAACTGATGAGTGAGTGATCTATAAATTTTAAATAAGGGAGAAAACGAGAAGGCTGTAGAAATATTTCAGAATATGCATAAAAGTATATTTATATGTAAAAATAATCGTTACAGATGGACAGAAGGAAAGTTGCAATAAAAGATACCAATCCTTTCCAAGTCACCTATCAGTGACTCTTATTTTGTACAACACATACTGATCTTCACCTTTCCTTGCTCAGGGGTCCTGGAGTCAATTGTAGACACGCACATGCCTCTGTATCTAAGTCCATCACCCTCCCCAATTGCTGACTCCTGTGAGCAACCGAGCCTTGCTTACCCGGAGTGCCTTCAGATGCTTACATAAGCTCCCAATTCATAATAATCATAATCCTTGCATTTGATGCTCCACGTCCCCCGCCCCAACCGCCCTACTATCGGTGGTCGGGCCTTCAGCCTCTCAGCCCCCAGGCTCTGGAACTCCATCCCCCAGTGCCTTCGCCGCCTCCTCCCTTTCCTCCTTCAAGGCCGGTCTCAAAACCTTTCTCTTTGACCGTGCCTTCAGCTCCCCTCTCGACTCTCTTCCTCCTCCTCGCTCCCTCCCTTCCCTCCCTCACCCTGACCATTTCCCCCCTCCTCTCTCCCTCCCTTCCCTCCCCTCACCCTGACCATTTCCCCCCTGCTCGGGTCATGACCCAACTGTGCAGCGCCTTGGGATGTCCTCCTGACGTGAAAGGCGCTCTATAAATGGAATCTTGTTGTTGTTGATATAGTGCCTTATCACATCTTCTAGACGCCTCAAAGTGCTTCACAGAATATACTGTAAAATAAATTGACTTTATATTTTGTGCGCGAAATGCGGCAGCCAATTGTGCACAGCAGTGTCCCACAAACAGTCGTGGTTTGAGTGACCAAATTATTATTATTATTTTTGGGTGGAGGGATTATTATCCCCCGGAAAAGCGAACTAACAATTGACTAACAACGGGATTCCTACTTACTGCAAGGTAAACAGAGGCGTGTGGAGTAAGGAAACTTGCCCAACATTTCGCCCTGCCAGGAATCGAACCCAGGTCCTCTCATTTGCGAGGCAAGTGCTCTAACCACTGAGCTACAGCAATGCACAATCTTGCGATACCAATTATGCAATGAGATGCAATATATAGAAAGGCATACATTGTGTTTCTATTTAACTTTGGGTGTTTCTACAGTAAGCCTGCCCAGTACTCACTGAGATATCTGTGCTTTTTTTTTGTTCCTCCAGGGACTCCAGGGCTTTCTCCTTGAACTCTTGCAGCCAATCACTGTAAAGCTAAAATGCAACATGCTTTGGTCAGCACACCATAGGTTTGCACATGAACGTCCCTCCAAATATTGTGAGTAGATCCGAAACATCTGCATTCCTTGAGACTTTATTGTTGATTGCAAAATTTTCAATTTTCACAGGTTTCATTTAATTCTATATCCCCTGTCACAAATGTTGCTAAACAGCCTGGATAATATTCCAGGGGTAATATTGTTCTAAAAACTAATTAATTGTCATTTTCAAAATTCAGTGTAGGACAACCAAAAATAGCACTGAAAAGAATGAGAGCATATGTTCCGAGATGAGAATCAACAGCTAACACACTTATTATTTAGGAAAACACGTATACGTGTATATCAATACACCAAAACCAGCAACAACATTTGACCCTATCTCCTACCTGTTGTGAGGGTACAGGGATCCCTGGGAAGAGCAGCTGCAGCATCTCTTTGGTTTGTATATGCACTGAATTCAGCTGGCATTCTGCCTCTTCCTGAAAGAGAATAACAGGTTATTCAATAAATTGAGATACATGGGTCTTCAAGGGATGGCCTTCTCTATATCCAATGTGAAGCGTTTTTCCCGCCTAGAAGCGCACTGGCACATATTCTCTGAAACTTGAAATTCTCTTCCAGTCAATTGGTCCATGCTGATGGGAGGAAGGTTTCTCCTATAAAGGCCAGCAAATTTCTCATGCTCCCCGTCTTAAGACCATTTTCTTAAAATCTTACAGAATTTTGAAGAAGTCTTAAATTCAGCCGTAATTTCAGCTCGCACTCCCCCAGTTCGGGTGTTCATCCAGTATTGTCATTGAGTTTTGGAATGTCCTCCTAACATGAAAAGACTATATAAATGTATATGTATTGTATTAACTTGGAAGTCGACTTTCTGCAGCATTGAAAAAAATTGGTTTCTAAATTAAAACCGTATTTAAACATTCCATAGATTTACAAAGAATGTACAGCACAGAAACAGACCAGTCTGTGCCAATGTTTATATTCCACCCGAGTCTGTGAGAAACCTCAATTTTTAAGTCTAAGAACATGAGAATTTTCAGACCCGAGGATCCCTATCAAAATCAAAAAGTGCTGCTGAGAATTATGATTCCCGATGGCTCAGTTGATAAGCATGCTGTCTAAGATTGAAGGACATAGATCGGGAAGGTGGATGCAAGGTTCGAGCTATACAGGGTTAGCTGATCTATGCTGGAGTACTGGTAGCAGACATATGATTGGCCTCAGTGTCCCTATCTTAATGAGGGGAAAAATCAGTCAGAGAACCCACAACTCCTCACTGCCCAGTGTGTTAGTTAAACACAAGATGGGGCTCGGCTGTGATTGCAAAAAAGGCTGACTAGCCTGTGACAGCTGATGTGTCAAAGCTCACATGTGAAGAATAGCCACTTGGGTGAGGTAATGGATCATACCCTTAAGAGCTATAGCCTAACAAAACCATCAGCACCTTCTAGAGAGGAGAAAATCAGGAGAGGGGAGTAAAAGAAATATGACTTAAGTGATTCTAGTTTATCCTTTCATTTTGTTTTGTCAACACGATTGAGTATTTTGGTTTTAATATGTGCTGACTATGTGATTAAGTGAGTGGTACAGTATTGCATGGAGGGATGACTGAGCTCGATATGGCAGTGTACATGAATTAACTTATGCAGGTTACTGATTATATCTTCATTCGCTTTAATTCAGCTCCTTCAGACTATCAGCTTCAACTCCCTAATCCAAGCTTCAACTGGAGGGTAGAGAACAAGCATGGACATCAATAGTCAATGAGACATAATGGTTCCTCTGTAAAATTGACCATGGAAATATCATCTATGTAGAGCAATTAGCTGGAGCTGAAAGAAGGAACAATAACTTGTTTATTTTTATCATAACGAAACGACTTGAGGAGCTTCACAAGTAATAATGTCATAGTGACCAGCGGCATATTGGCTGTATGGGAAATCAGGAAATTTGATAGACCATGATGTGAGGCTGGATGAATATCCCGCAGTTTCCTTTGATTACTTGCAGGGACCAGGGAATATTTCTGCAGAACTTTCCCTCAGGGAATTAAGAGGCGTAGAGTCCACTTTGGAGCAAATTATTCAAGGCCTGTGGCTGTTGTGGTTTTACTGGCCAGATAGCTATTTCTCTTTCAAAGCATTTGTATGTTTTTATTGGAAAACAAAGATTCCGAGAACTGATTGAAAGGAAATCCTATGAACGTTGTGGCTGTACATTATTGAGTAGAGGGTGGATATCAGAAGTTTGTTTCTGGATTTCAGTTATCTTCATCTGACAAGCCAGGACCTATTCATCTCCGTGTTGATCAGCGTAACAATGGAGAATTGGAGCAGAATCAAAGGGAGTGGCTGGCATGGCCAAACAGCCTAGGAACACTGGAACAGGAGTAGGACAATCAGACATTCAAGCTTACTCATCCATTAATTCTACTGCACCCTTCATCTCAATTTCCCCTGTCTGGTCTCTATATCATTTAATATCCGTACTTAATTTAAAAAATGCCTGAAGCAGTCAAGAGGTACGTCTCGAGACAGACTTGAGGGACATCAGGTTGCGAAGGGATCAAGTTGGAATCTATCTCCCTCTTTTTATTCCATTCGCTACTTTGGATGAAACCACCCTCATGACTTCAGGATATCAACAATTACTGTGTGTTCTCTCTCAAATCGGACAGGAGATTCCAGCAAGCTCCTAGGATAAGGACACTGTCTTTTCTGGAACTTACAGGCTGCCCTGAAGCGCTCCGAGATGCTACCCTGTGTGGAAAGTGCTATATAAGTAAAAGTTCCTGTTGTTGTCGTTGCCTGCTTGAACACTACTCAAGAGTGGTGCACATTTTGTCATATCACAAAGCTTCCGACCTTTGCTTTCTCTGTAGTACTCAATTTCTCTGCACGCATTGTTTCAGCTGCTGCCAAAGCCTCCATTGCCTTCCAGTTTTTCTCACGGAGCTCCTATTTGGAAACAGTTCAATGACAGACCATGCAGTGATTTGTAGGTGAGTTTCTGCGTGGGTAATGTGATTTCTGGTAGGAACCAGGTTCTTTAAAAAGCAGAGGAAATGCCGGAAGCCAAGGTCGGCAACTTATAATGTCTCCCCACATTTAATAGCAAGGATGAATAACCAGTTTACTGATCTTATTTTGACATTCGATTAAACACAAAGTACTGCTGTCACATGCGATATGTATATTCGCAGGTTCTTTTCCCCTATCTCTCCTTCCAATTGTTCTATCTCTTCTTCTGAAGATGCTAACTCTCCAATATAATACAAGTTTACAATTATATAGTGCCTTTTACATCGGGAGAACGTCCCAAGGCGTTTAACAATAAGGGGTACGATTCCACAAGCATTTTTGGCCATTCTTTACGTGTGAGTCTGGACAATGAGTATAAGCAGGATATTCAAGCAAGAGGGAAGAGGGGTGAACAGGACTAGGCATCGCAGTTACACAAACACACTTTTCAGCAAAGGGGCACTGGACAGCAATTTGGAGCAGGATCACTAGCTGATTACCTCTCTCCCTATTCCAGAGACACATCAATTGTAGGGACCCTTCTCCCGCCATGACAGAGATCCCCTCACACAGCACAGATCAGAGAACAAACTTAGGACCATCCAATTCTGTAGGGCTAAATAACACTTTATCAACAGTGGTACCAGGGAGCCATGCAGGATTTTCAGTTGCAAGTGAAACTCGACATGAAGCATTTTTGTTTACATTTTACACAGGAAGTTCAATTTCCTAATTGTGAAATGAATAGTAACCACAACAGCCTGCGATTCTGGAATCATTCCCTATGTTAAATGCATGTCCTATTTTGTCTGGAAAATATACAGTCAGTTCACTTTACAGCATATTCAGTGCAGAGCTTTGCGACATCTTGAAGACATGATAAGGCGCTATATAATAATATAATATAATAATATATAATATAATAATAATATAATAATCCTTGCATTTGATATAGCGCTTTTCACGTCTTCTCAACATCTCAAAGCGCTTCACAGAATAGACTGTAAAGTGAATTGACTATATTTGTGGGCGAAGCGCGGCAGCCAATTGCGATTGAAAATGATCCATTTATTATTGTTTTTTTGTTTTGGAGGGATTATTATTAGGAGTGTGACGTAAGCAAACTTGCCCAAGGGTTCGCCCTTCCGGGAATTGAACCTAGGTGTCTCGCTTGGAAGGCAAGTGCTCAAATATATCAAGTGCAATTATTATGAAGTAGCAAAACATTGGAGGAACCACAAGCAGCAGGGGAGAGGACTCTCCTGGAGATGACTTGGGCCACAGTTAAAAGACTGACTGACCTAAACTCGACTTTGGTGAGATCAAAGGCCCCAAAACTCTAACTGTAAGACCATTTTGTCATAAAAAAGACACTTTTCCATTGATCATAAATGTGACTACGACCACCAAGAGAAGTACTGCATTTGAGGGAGACTCATTACCATGCATTTTATTTTCTCCCCTCTTTTTGTGAAGGCAGTGGGTCAGGCTGCAACTTCCTGCATTGCAGAAGCAGTTGTCTAATCCAGATAGTCATTCTCCCCTGTGGGTGAGTGTTGACATTAGGCAGCTCACAACTGTGTCTGATCCTGTCCTGACCCCACATCAACATACCCCTGTTGAGATTAGTTCACTGAGCAATGATTATGGGCCTGAACCTCAGATTATCCTGGTCTTGTGCTCTTTATATCTGTTGTCACAGTCACTTTACTCACCGAGCCACCATCCATAATCAGAAAAAGAAGCAAAGCCAAGCAGACCCAGCTTAGGAAACGTATTAATACTTGTAAAACAATAAAAGATGCCTGAAGTCGGGCTTTCTGTCAATACTGTGTGAGCAGCAACCACTACGATCAAGCCTTTAGTGTTAGTGGAAGCTGTCTGGGCACATGAGGCACACAGTAATAATAATAATAATAATAATCGTTGCATTTGATATAGCGCTTTTCACGTTGGGAGGACGTCCCAAAGCGCTTCACAGAACATACTGTAAAGTGAATTGACTGTATATTTGTGGGCAAACGCGGCAGCCAATTGCGCACAGCAATGTCCCACAAACAGTCATAGATTGAAAATGACCAATTTATTATTTTTTTTTGGTTTTGGAGGGATTATTATCAGGTGTGTGGAGTAAGGAAACTTGCCCAAGGTTTTGCCCTGCCTGGAATTGAACTCAGGTCTCTCGCTTGCAAAGCGAGTGCTCTCACCACTGAGCTATAGGACTCCAGTATCTGGTACTACAGGAAAGAACAATTCTGAGCCAAATCAGACAGTTCACTACCTAGTTGATAATTTGGCCCAAACCACTTCAAACTCTTCTTGAAAGTTACAGCTGAAAGATAATCTGTGTAACACTCACATTGTTTTTGTTCTTTTGCTGATCACTTATTTCTCTGAGTTGCAGCAGCTCTCGTTCCAGGGCAAAAACCTGAGCATCTTTTTCCTTCAGTCTGAAGAAAGAAGTGACCAGAAAGACCAGAAATTACACCATTAATCAGCTATACACTCGCATCACAGACACACTCACACCAACACACATCACAATCACACACACACTGACAGACACACACCACAAATTCACGCAGACACAAAGACATACGTACACATAGACAGACACACACTTATCACAGACATCACACATACACATATTATTATTTATTATTTATTATTATTATACACACACACACTCAGATATCCAATCAGACACACACACACTCACAGGCACACAGACATATCACAGTCACACATCACACACTCCATGCATCCATCACAGACACATGCCACACACAGACACACACATACCCGAATGCACACATTCACACCGCAGATATTCACACACACACAAAATTATACACCACAGATATGCAAACAGATTCATTCATACACATACACAGCAGTGCAATCAGACATATCACTTCCATACTGTTCAAGCAGCACTTTACCTGTTCTCCAGGTCCTCTATTGCTGCAAATTGGGTGGCCTAAAATTTTAAAAGAAATTAACAAGTGAAAGGATTGCTCTTATGGGAGCCAGTATAGACATGATTGACCAAATGGCCTTCTTCTGTGCTGTAAATTTCTACGGTTCTGTAATAAAGTATTTTTTTAAAAATCCTAGCAGAAACAAAAACTGCAAAAAAAAACTTCAATTCAGCCACTAGATGGCCTAATTATTAAGCCTGACTGAAGACATGCTCCCTTCCTCCCCTACTTTCCAGTACGCAGTGATTAATTCAGTGATTCCTCTGGTAACTTGTCCAAGTGGCTCTTTTTCACAAGCAGTCTAGACAGTGAGTAGTAGCATGCTATTTAAAGCTGAGCCTGATCCTGTACTCACCCAATGTTCATACGCATGCATTTTGTAGCATGTGTCAATTCGCAGCATGCGTTATATCCTGCAGTTGTTATCTCCCCCCCACAGAAGCACTCCAGAAAGTGGGCGCAGAATGGCTAAATGATCTCCCACCGATGGAAGAGCAGTTTTGGGGTGGTGGTGGGGTGGGGGAGGAACATGAAATAGACTCTTGTCAGCTGAGGAAAGGGAGGGTCAGAATTGCTAGGGTTCCATGATGTTGCACAGGTAGGTCGGGGCGAGGCGAGTGATTTGAGTGCGAGAACAAGGATCTTGAATCCGATCCACTAGCAGATGGTGAGCAGGTGAGGATGAGGGTAGATGGCCTTATGGAATCTGGAACAGGAGAGAACCTGGCACACCTCAAACACAGTGCCATATCTTAAAAGTCTTTGTTTTACCGATTTTCACTGATAAAATCAGTTTTTCTTTTAGTGAAGTTCAATCAGTAAGTAACTTATCATTCAACAAGGCATCACAGAGACCCCTGAAGAGCTCTTGAAAGTAAAAAGGTTACAAAATAATTACACTCCCAAAGTTACCTGGTCCACTTCTTTCTCGGTCTCTTTGCTCTGGTCTGCCTCAAGCAGTGTCTCTATTGACTTAATTCTTTCTTCCAGCTGTGCTTTGTCAGAACTGGCTTCCATCAGCTTGGTCCGAAGGCTGTCCAGCTCCTCTGTTTTACTTTTCTGGTCTGCATTTGCGGAAGCCAGCTTGGCCTGAATATCTGTAACCAAATAAAGAAGCTGATTTATAACTAGCAAGAAACAGCGCCCCATTAATTGATACTCCCCACCTCTCTACCCATGGCATCATTGGCATCTGTGAATAGGCGAAAGTACAAATAGAGTACATATTTCTTATAATTTTAGAGAATTTCATTTTTCAAATATTCTCAAGGGGAATGAAGTAGAAAAATCCTTGCATTTGATACAACAATTTTCACATTGGTAGACATCTCACAACGCTTCACAGGATTTACTGTAGGTATAGTGACTGTATTTTGTAAGCGAACACAGCAGCTAATTTCTGCAGAGCAAACTCCTGTAAACAACCCGTGAAGTGAGTGACCAGTTTCATCTGAGTGACTGTTAGCCAGAATACTGGCAGAAATTCTTTTCTCTTTTCCAATCGGGCCATGAAATCTTTAACATCCACCTGAATATGCCAGGATTCCTTATTAAGGAATCCTATTAAGAAATGTGACAAATTTCTCCTCAACTTATCTCCCCCTTTAACCCCCGCTCCAGTTACCATTCCACTCACCGTTTAAGCTACTTTGAGTCGCCTGCTGCTCTCCTTTAGTCTTCTCTATGCTAGCCAGCAAGCTGGTGTGGCTGCTCTGAGATTTACGGAGCTCTTCGCTAACATCGTCCAACCTCTTCTGCAATGTGCTTTCAGTTTCCTGCTTATTTGACTGAAAGAAAAGAAAAATCAGACAAAGAATAAACGATTGTTCTAAATAAAGAAGCGCTCGGAGTCAGGCCACGGCTGTTGCTAACAAGAGCTGCAGAGACCCCGGGCCAAATACAAGGCACGGACGAACTGCATGAAAATACATAGTTGCCCTGTTACAGTGCACTTCAGTATACCACAGGTCTGGATATAATGCAGTAAGCATAATGGAGTCCTGTAGCTCAGTGGTTAGAGCACTCGCTTTGCAAGTGAGAGACCTGAGTTCAATTCCAGGCAGAGGGCGAAACCTTGGGCAAGTTTCCTTGCTCCACACAGAGCCTAATAATAATCCCTCCAAAACCAAAAAAAAAATAATAACAAATTGGTCATTTTCAATCTTCAGTGAAAGTGAGTGCAAGTGGTCATGCTGTAACTCACACCGGACAGAACCCGGTTTCATTTTTGAAAGATCCCAATTTCTGCAATATGACCGGGCTGGCTTGTACCTAACAGGTTCTCCCAGGGAAGGGTCACGTCAGATGGACGAGATTAATTTCCTTTGAAATGCTCGGGAAGGAATGAGCTAAGAAGCAAAGCAAATGTGGGTGACGTGGAAACAGACTGTCCCATCACTTTGATCCTGACAGATGATATCTCTCTTACCTGAAGCTGCGTTATCTGCTGCTCATACTTGGCAACCTTTGCCTCCAGAGACTTCTTCTGCTGCTCATCTTGCTGGAGGGACTCGGATTTCTCATTCAGCTCCTTGGTCAGTTTGGTGCACTCCTGGCGCAGTTTGGCCAGTTCAGCGTTTTGTCTGCAACAAACGTTGATTGGAATTTAGTATCAAAAAATGAAGGTTCAGAAGGCACACTCAGTGCAAACTCCACAAAAACAATCACTTTGATATCTTAAAGATTGAGTGTGTAAGGAGTAAATGTTTTGCTTTCAGATGTATAAGCTGGCAATTAACTGTTGCCTGCACGCTGGACAATAGCAAGTCTACACTTTGGGTTGAAATCTCGGAAATATAATGATGCTGAAATGTCAAGAGAAAATGTTTAGTCACACACCTACATGTATCGCAGCCAGAGACGGGAATTTTCTCAAGGACACGTTTGAACCGGCAACGGGAGGTAAGAGTTTATAAGCAAATTTAATATGACAAATTTTGAATGAATCACTAGGTTGACCCTGTTATCATCACAGGCTGGTGACCCAACAACTTACTTGCTCTCAGTCTGACTTGTAGCCTGGTTTAGGGCATCCCTTAAAATGGAGTTCTCCTGCTGCAGACGGGCTATCTGGGCATTGGGACCATTCTCGAGCTGTTCCTGGAGGGTTCGAATCTGGAAAAAAAACACTTGATCAATCATTGGCTCTATGTGTCTTTTAGAGGCAAAGCGCTAAAACAAAAATAAACAAGTCACATAAGCTGCACTCTACCGTTATTTCCTCTGGAGAATTGTTCAGCATGTATATTGCTTTCAAACCTCTCCGTGCACACTCACAATCCATTCATTTTATTTTAACTGAGATGCTATTCCAATTTGAAACACCCTGCATAAATGTTAAATTGTTGTTGCTATAGTAGTAGTAGTTGTAAGAGTACAGCATCACAACACTGGTACAAATTCAGGTAGTCACTTCAACAAGCTCACACATGGGTTCTGACGAAGGGTCGTGAACCTGAAACATTGACTCACTTTCCTTTCTCCATAGATGCTGCCTGAACTGCTGAGTTTTCCCAGATCTCTCTCTTTTTGTTTCAGATTTCCAGCATCTGCAGTGTTTTGTGTTTTGTTCATTTATGTGCAAACTTACTTCTTTTTGGGGGGAAAAGTTACAGACTAAATACAGCGGATTTCAGCATAGCAACTCTCTCTGGTCTTCAAGCTCACGTTTTATATAAAAGCTTATGGATTTATTTTAGCATTTAACATAAGACAACAACAACAGCAACAACTTCCGTTAATATAGTGCCCTTCACATGTGGTAGCATCCCGGAGAGTTTCACAGTGGTGGAGTCTGAAAACAAGCCAAGGGGAGAGGAAGAGGCCAGGTGACCATAAGCACGATCAAAAAGGAAGGTCTACAGTCAGGATTCAAAGGTGGGGAGGAAAGGGGGCAAAGATAATTTTTGCTAGGAAGAGTGTCAGAAGCCAGGATACTGGACTCATTTAAAGAACAGCTTGATGCTGCGATAGGAGAGCGGTGGGGTGAGTATTCTGGTAGGATGAAATCAGTGGAGCCAAAGGGCCTTTTTCACTCAGCCTAATCTTGTGATTGTGACCTTGTGATGACATGAAGTTGTCTCTCGGAGCTGGGCATGAAGGAGCAGTGGCCTCCAGGTTACATGTCAACAGTGCCTCAATTGGACAGATTACATATGGACAGGCATTAAAAGGGCTCAGGTGGTAGCTAGTGACCTTGGACTGGAGCTGCTGTGACTCGGTTATATGGTCCTGGTAGCTGGCCTGCATGCGGGTCTGCATGGCGTTCAACTCCTCCCCCCGTGCTGACAGCTGCTCTTTCAGTTTAGCCTCGGTGGCAGCAGCCTTGGCTTTTTCAGCTCCAAATTCCTGCAAGGTAGAAAAGTGTGCTTTATAACAGTAATGCCTTAGAGCAAAAGTAAAGAGAGTTCACATCTCTGCAGCTCATATTACCATTCTGCTTGGACATAACAAAATGTTGAGGGAAGGACATTTTCCTCATCGCCTTAATTCCTCTTGTACATGGACTCTCAGCACGGCATCTTGTTCGATTTTGAATAACACCAAATATTTCTTTGCTTGGTACAATACGTCTAGTGAGGATGTCTTCAAGTGCTTTACACAGCTGACTGGGCACCCGAGACAGGAAGGTGGTAGATTATTCCAAACATTTATAATTCTTTATTGTTAGGACTTGATGACTAACTAAACACCAAATTCTAAGTGTGGTCAGACTACTGCACAGCAAAGCCTCAGGATAACTTTTGTAGACTCCGACATCCATTCCTATTCTTGCTGTAGATCATATTAGCTTTACAATTGCAGCCCATGCTGAGAAATAGAGTGACACTGAGACCAAGAAACAAATATTGGAAGTCTCAGTACCAGTCAGTGCTCTGCATCACCTGAAGACTAAACTAGGATCAAGAAATGTGAAAACTCTTTAAACTACGTTGAATTACAATAAATATGCAATTTCCTGTTTTCAGTAAACAGGCTTCCAAGTTTGTTGAGGAGAAGGTGGTCTGTGATATAAAGGGAATAGATTAAACGTCCCTAAATAAATCCTTTAGGAATTAACAGTGAGTGTTTACCTTGTTGAGCTCTCGAAGCTTATTTTTGGCTGCACTGGAGTCCTCTTGTTCTGCTACAAACTGCTTCTCCTTCTCTTCCAGCTGCCGTTTCAAAGCCGCAACTGGGTCACCTTTCTGAGTAGCCTACACATCACAAACAGAAAGATCAATAAGAATTAGCAATACGCATGCACAAACACACTTACTCACACATGAACGCACACAGATGCACACAAGTACATATGCAACATGTGGAGTTTTCCAATGCTGAATCCCACAACTACAATATTTATTTTGGGATAATCATTAATAAACAAGAGCTGTGGAATGATAGACCCCTAATGTTATAATGGGGGGGGGGGGGGGGTGGTGGGGGGGGGAGAGGTCTAAGGGTCTACAGTGCAGTTCTATTATAATGTGCTTCTTTATAGTATATATTTGGTTAAAATATAGTGGCACTGTGGACCCCATTCGCTGAGCACCCACGCAGCCAGCTCACTCACTCCCTACATGCCTTCCGGCTTACATAATAAAATGATGCCAACCAAATACAACAATAACTTGCATTGCTATAGTGCCCTTCACCCGGGTAGCATCAGAGAGAGCTCAACATCCTTAAAGCGCTTAATAACCTGTGCATGATCAGCAAATAGGAAGTGATGTCGGCGGTGGCCTGGTGACACAGAAGTTCAGTCGTTTTTCTTTTAATGCAGGAACAATTGGCTGGCGTGCAGGAAGCGAATCGGCTGGCTGAGCACATGTGTGGTGAGACCAGCTATTGCCCTTCGCTATAGTTGAGTTGTGATCTTACAACTCCCAAACATCGCAATATAATAATGCTCCAGTGTATTTCAAACACGATTCTTTAATGGATTCTGGAAGCTGAGTGAGGACTCTTTCCGGTAACCCCACGCATCACGCTGACTTGTAGGAACTCGCTCTGAAGGTCGATAGAGTTGGAGGGATTTCCCGGCGGTCAGTTGGTAAGGCACCAGACCCCAACTATATGGAGTTGGCAAATAATCGGTCTCACATTGAACACAAAATAGAGACTTGGTAGGACCAAATGCCAATAAACACTATGGGTAATATCTAGTCTGTGCATATCTTAAAAACGATTGTTCCACAAAAAAAATGAAATTAACATTTGTGGGCCCAATGGATGTCATTCTATTTCATTGTAATCCACAGTCAATTTGATTCAATGTGGGAGATGTTCATGCTCTCTCAAGGATGATTCACCAGCCTTGCTTCTCACTGAGGCCCACAATGTAAACACAGTCGGTACCCGCTGGGTGGGTTTGTTCTAAAATTCTATCAGTCATGGGTTCATTCCTAATCCACCCAGATATGACTATCCAATGGCTGCCTCAAAATCCTCAAGTGCTGTATTTGCAGATTGCACTTGCTGAGTTAGAGCAAAAAAATTCAGGTGAGTTAATTTTTCACCCCTCTATCTGACTGCAGTTCTCATAAGGCCCACGCAGACAATCAATAGTTCAAACAAGGTAAACATTCAGTTTATCATGTCTTAGGAAATACAAAGTCTACACAGAGTACAGATGTCACATGCTGCTCATTTCCCGCATATAAACCAAGTGCCCTTGACCGTATAACCAATAGACAGCGACAGCAAGCAGTAACGTTAGCCACTGGATCACATAACTCGTTATTTAACACCTTAATACTTACTCAATTACGTAAGTATTAAGGTGTTAAATAAGAATGAATCTATCCACAAACTAAGCACAGACCGAGGATTGAGGCTTTGAGACCTGTTAGGGCCATATAGCACACATCACATTGTGCTGCTCTGAGCCACCAAGCAATTGGGAACCGCACACATTTTTTTCTGTCGCTGCTTTTGATTGTAAGGTAAAAGCAATATCAACACCATTGGCTGTCATAATGGTGAAAGTGAACTGAGCTTTTATCTTACCGTGTGCCAGGTGTCCTGAACAATGCCAGCTTTATCCATGAGGATTTCGATCAGTCGCTGGGCCTCACCCTCACTAAAATCCATGCTGCTGACAGTGGAGACTAGGGACTTGTAGGGAATGTACAATGGGCCATCCAAGGAGTCAGCAGGAATTGCTGCTAAGAAAATAGGATAAAGGAGAACGTTAGAGAGGAGCAGAGCAATATCGTAGTTACATTTACATTAACCATTCTCTTAATGAACTTTAAACTCCTTCAAAGTTAGTGTCGCAAATGCAAGATCCTACAAACTTGTGGAAGTGTGCAAGTGTGTGCACCTACAGCTTTTACACACAGCGACCAAAGAGCCAAAGATCACTCGTATCAGGGTACAAAAAAAGGTGTTAAATTGCGCTAAGACGCAATTTATGCACCAGATTTTATGGTAATTAATTTGTCCAACCTGTAAAATAATAATAATCCTTGTATTTAATAGAGTTGGGAGGACTTCACAGGTTCTACTGAAAAGTGTAGTGACTGTGCATTTTGCAGACAAATAACTAAAGAGAAAAACTTTACTGCACCAAGCAGCTGAAAATATTTCCATGGATAAAAATAAAAACAAATATCAATGTCCATAGGCCCAAAGTTTCTCATGTTCTTAATAATATTGGTTGCATTTGAAAAAGTGCCTCATCATGTCTTGAAGACGTTTCAAAACACTTCACAGAATATATTGTAAAGTGAATTGACTCTATATTTTGTGAGCAAAACACTTAGGAAAGATCATGCAGAATTTTTGGAAAACCATGTTCGATTCAGTCTTAATTTAGTAGCTAGGTTTCTGCAAGTCTTTGAAATTATGTCCAAATTTAAGAATTTTCAAAATTCTGCAGAAACTTACATTTTAAGACAATGATCTTAAGGCTAAGAACATGAGAATTGTGGGTCGCTGCAGAGGTTCGAAATTCCATCACGTCATAGCTTGTTAAGACTAGAAAAAGTACACCTGGGTTCAATTCCAGGCAGGGTGAAATCGTGGGCAAGTTTCCTAAATTCAGTCTTATTTTTTAACAACTGCAAAAAAATGGGTTGCAGAATTTAGACTTAATCCACAATTCTGAGAAAGCTAAAATTTTAACACAAAATAGTCTTACTCCCAGGCTTAGCCTAATGTGGGTCTCTGCTGGTGCTTAGACTGAATGCACAAGTGCTACCCAAGACCTTAGGAGACCATTTAGCGACCACTGGTGGTAAAAGCAAATGATTAAAAATTATTACACTTTGCTAATGAGGCAGAAAAACGCGTTCTTTCAAATGACCAGCTCACTATTTGCAATGGCTTTAATAACAGCATGGTATAATTTTTACACTAATGCACACACACATCTGCCAAACATCCATCACAAGGAAGTTGATTTGTGACATTGAGAGCATACATATCCTTTTGCATTACTAATGGAAATTTACCTTTTATATTACATTGGGGAGGGGGGCAGAGCAGAGACAACAACAAGTTGCATTTATATGGCACCCTCCATGCAGGGTAGCGTCTCAGAGTGCTTAACATTGGCAGAGCCTGACTCCGAGCCGGGGAGGGGGAGGTGACCGTAAGCACGGTCGAAGAGGAAAGTTTTCAGGAGGGACTTCAGACGGAGGAATTGAGGGAGAGTGTTCCAGAGTTTTGGGGTGTAGTGACTGAAAGTGTGACCTCCGATGGTGGGGAGGAGGGTGCGAGGGACGAGCAGAGGCGCCAGGTGGTGGATTGGGGAGTGAGGAGGTCGGAGAGGTAGGGAGGTGCCAGGGAGAGAAGGGATTTGAACACGAGTGTGAGGATCTTGAAGTCAAGAGAGAGACAATCATTTTCCCCACCCTACCACTGACACATTCACCTTCTAGCTTAACATTTCCACAACATAAGGTTGAAGGAAAGGGGGTTGAGTCCTGTCCTGCTCAGTATTTCTGATCTAAGGTCTATAGGAGGTGTCACATGGAGTAGGCTGAGCACATCTGGCAGCAGCTGGAGAATAACTCAAACTCTCGACTTCTGGCTTCAGGCAACAGAGGAAAGGCATAAAAATACAAATAAAAAATGGGTACGCTCATCCCCAAATATAACCATGAAAGATAAAGTGAAAAAAGTGCATAGATACACTTGTATTAAAAAAAATCAATTACATAGAGTGATACGCACTGAAAAAGGCCATTCAGTCCAACTAGTCCAAGCCAATGTTTATAATCCATCATGAGTCTGCACTCCTCTTATTACCCTCAAGATTACCACTTTATTCCCCTCTCCTTCATGTATTCAGTTGCTGGTTTGTATAGCACACTATTACATTGCATGGGTGACACTGTGTTTGGTACATGGTGTGTGTACCACACAAGCACAACCTCTTACTGAGTCCCCAGAGAATTGATACTATAAGCAGCAGTGAATTCAAGCTCTCACTGCTGTGGCTCTAAGGGACATTAGTAGATCAATGTTCTGACAGCATTCGTGTAACATAGCACAGTTTTATTAAAGAGCAAGTCCAAAGTGGTGAATGGAGCTCTAACCAACAAACCATTCCATTTTAGGGAGGATGCCAATGTTAAGTTAAAACATGAGATGGAAAACAAGGCCAGACAGAGGAAAGGAGGGTTCATTTTTAATGGATTAAATGCTGAATACATGGAATACTGACTTTGTTTGAACACCTAAACCTAAGATAACACTCATTACAGTGCTTCTACAGGGCAGATAATTAAAATCAACTGCTTCTGTCCAATCGAATTAAAATGTACATCAATTCAAACCAAATGTTTATTCAAGGGCGGTGGTTGAAGAATGGTATTTATTCAAACAGGATCACCTTCTGTGCTTCAATCACCCGAATATTTAACAAAAATTGTCAGGTAACCTTCTTCACAAAAAACCCAGATGTAATTACATGAATCTTAAATAGATTAATAGAGTTGAATCTGTTCCTGAATATTTATTGAATGTTTCTGCTTATATTCCCCTTCCTCCCTCCTCTACTGGAGGCTCTGATGTGAGCTGGTGTACAGGAAGTCTGCTCTTCATTCATTTATAGATTTGTATATTCCTTTATTGTTACCATCACAGTGAGTGTTATGACACTATTCCATTGTGGAGGTGATGATTCTGGCCTCACCCAATTCCAGACTTGACACATATCCTGTATTAGTCACTCGATTGCAATTAGAAGCAGGATCCCAATTTTTCCCATCCTAGCCCAGAGGCAAATTGTAGCCCTTTGATTGGTGCTCCAGGCTGATACCCGCTAATTCAGTTCAATTCGGATTTAAACATGTGTCCTTCCTGGTCAAAGTGACAAATGATATTCTGTCTATCTGCGACCAGGGCTTCCTCTACCTCTTCGTCCCCCTTGACCTCTCTGCTGCCTTCAACACCATCGACCACTCTATTCTCATCCATTGCCTCTCCTCTCACCTCAACCTTCCCGGCTCTGTCCTTGACTGGTTCAGATTATACCTCTCACAGTGCCTCCATTTCATCTCCACAAATGGTTTCTCCTCTAATCCTCGCACCTTCTCATGTGGCGTTCCTAAGGGCTCTGTCCTTAGTCCCCTCCTCTTCAATATTTATAATCTCCCTCTTGGTGACATCATCCACAGACGTGGGGTCAACTTCCACATGTATGTTGATAATACCCAACTGTACGTCTCTGCCTCCACTCATGACTCCAGAGCCATTGCTGTCCTGACAGAATGTCTGTCAGACATTTAAGACCATGTAAAAACACCGCCTTATGTGTTTGCCATGAGTTTGTCTAATCTGTTTGGCAGAGATGACAGCATAATCACTGTTAAAAAAACATTCACAGACTCTAACTAAGAAAGGAACATGTTTCTGCTTACTTGGATCATCTGCACAAAACTGCATGACTCTGTGGCCTGTAAATAGTGAACGTCCAAGACCTGGATGAGAGCTAACTTTCCACAGTTGAACATCAACAAGACCGAGGGTCTCCTGATTGGCTCCCGTCAGTGCCTCCACAACTCAGGCGCTGACAGCATCACTATCCATGGTTGTACACTCTACCTTGCTAAGCCAGTCCGAAAGCCTAGGGTCTTGTTTAACCCTCAGCTATCCTTTCTACCCCATATCTGTGCCATGACGCACTCTGCCCTCCCCCATGTCCGCAACATCGTCCAGCTCCGCCACTGTCTCACACCGCAGGCCGCCGAAACCCTCATACACGCTTTAGTTACATTGAGGCTTGACTATGCAAACTCCTTGCATGTTGACCTCCCCAACGCCTCCCTCCATACCCTTCAGATCATCCAGAACTCTGCAGTCTGCGTCCTCTCCCGCACCAGGCTCCGTGATCCTATCAGCCCCATCCTCGCCCGACACCACTGGCTTCCCATCACACAGAGGATACAGTTCAAGATACAGTTCAAAGCCTTCCATGGCATTTCCCCCCTATCTCTGGGACCGCCTAATCCCCTACAATCCAGCTCGCACCCTCCGCTCAGCGGGCTCCGTCCTGCTTCACTTCCCCGCCTCACTCGCCCCACTATTGGCGGGCAGGCCTTCTGCCACTCTGCCCCCACCCTCTGGAACTCCATCCCACAGTACCTCTATCTCGCCCCCTCCAAGACATTTACTAAAGAAGGGCTTTCCCTGAGGGCAGTGTGAACAAGGAGGGAGAGAAGATAAAAATGGAGGTAAAGGTAGCAAAAATTTCAAAGTGGGAAAAACAAACCAAATAATTTAACCAAAGGCAGATAATATCAGCAGTCTCAGAATAATGTGGAGCAATTCCTAAAATAATGATGATAATATAGCAATTGTACTTTTTTTACCCCTATATTTTAAAAGTTGTTTTCGTTCAGTTTAACCAATGCAAAAGTGAAGCATCCGTAAGAGGGTCTATGAAGAAAATTGAGACGTTTGATTTGAGGGAAGTTTTATCAACCCTTGTGTTCTATGTATGAACAGCGACATACCACAAGCAAATAATCCTGTTATTAAAAAGTTAAACCAATGGTTATGTTAATACAACTCATTCCAATCCTGGATTCATGCCCAGACCACACAGGTTGATGTGAGGGGAGTGCCAAAGGATTTTGAATAGATACTGGTAGGAAGTTCACTATTTACAGGCCACAGAGTCATGCAGTTTTGTGCAGATGATCCTATGTTGGAT